CATCTGTACTTTAAAAGCAAAATCTTTTGGGGATAAAAGTGATTTGCCACGCACACTTAATAGACACACTGTTTAGTAATTGTGTTACCATAACTCAAGCTATGTCTCACTGCACCTTGTTAGTTACTGATCTAGATAATTCGGTGTATGACCTGCATGGCTTTTAAGACCACTACAATATAAAAATGATGAAAGCCCCCTGAAAGACCTCTTCTTGGGGAGATAGAAAAAGTGGGGCTTTTTTTTTTTAACAGAATTACATGAATTTTGATTCATGAGCAATTCACAACATTGATATGTAAACACTGAAGGATTCCCAGATATTTGTATAATACCAGCAGGCTATTTATCAGCATTTTAACTAACATCAGTTGTCAGCTATTTTATTTTTGCAATTAAGCGTGCATATATAGAAACAGCATATATATGTAAGCTACTAGACACCACATCTATGTAGAAACTGCCAAGAAAGTCCATGCAAAGCAGGACTGTGAAACACACATTTTCATTTCAAGTCACAATTATAGCTAGACACACAAACTACTATTCTAAACATTTGTATATTACAGGTGTATTGACTTGAGTCTTATTCATATTAAGAACTTCACACCAACCACTGAACTTGTACCTTAGACTTGCCTGAGAGCTATACAGCGTGTGATAAAGAGCAAATGCCACCAAACCAAACAATTCCATTTTTATGGAAAGTCACATATAACACTTACATACATATGTCATTGTATTATACGCATGCTTTTCTACAACTTTTATGCCTTCTATATGATCAAACATTCAGCTATTTCCCTGAAGCAACATAAGGCAATATAAACACCTCTCCTTCAGTGTGAGTATATTCTGGAGGCATTTAGAGGCATAAAAAACTAACTGCATGAGACAGTACCTGGGAGCTAAGGCTTATTTCACTGTAGTTTTTCATTGACTATTACTAACTTGGCCTATAACATTTCCTGAGCTATGAAAATATGAAGCCCCTCTGTCAATCTGTTCAATATTCTCTACAACCAAAACACAGTTTTGAAATAACTACTCTAACAAACACGAGATTTTTTTGCATATAAGTTCAGCATATGCTGTGAAAAATGCAATGAAAAGGCGTACTTTGGGCAGAGCTCATGACATACCATGGTATGCAAATAGCTAATATTAAGATTAGAAATTTAAGAGCAACATGAATTAAATATTCAGTAACTCCAGTAATTTAGGGCTTACAAAAAGCATCAGTTATTCTTTCTACCTTTTTGCAAACTCCACCAATGAAACTACATTTTCAAAATACCTACATGCTAATTTCTTCTTTGCTGGATAAATGCATCACTAACATTGTGACATGCAACGAACCGCAGTGAACCATTGCTTTGGAAAGCCTATCATCCTTCTGTATTATTGCATCTTGGACAGCCCGAATGTTGCCAGCAATCTGGGGAGACAGAGACATAGAAACAACAGTTAGCCATTACGGTTACTGCATCCCGTAATGCAGCTGAACAAGAAAGCACACAAACTGAAGTCAAATGTTTATGTAGAAATCATTCTTGCAGAAGGAACTTTTATCCTGCAACAAAGCTGTGCTAGCTGATCTGAGTAAACTCAAATCAAAAACAAATGCAGTGATTAACAAACAAGTGGACATTCCCCATCAGAACAGAACCTGGCTTCCTTAAGGCTCCTAGAACAGCTTGAGATCATGCAGATTGCTGTACACTGACAGTGGCCCAGATCAGAGACTTCTTCAGTGAATTTCTCTACTGTCTGTTGAGTGTGTATGTGCTACATGCAGACAGGCATCTGAAAAGTGGAAGAGGTCTCTGGAGGATTCAGATCAGGCCTAATTTAAATAGAGAATATTCTGTGTGTGTGGAGATACCAGACTTACAATTCTGATCTTCATGTCCAAAAGAAAGTACAATGTACATATTCTCTTCAAACACATCAATGAATTTCTGTAACATTTTGGCAGATCTAACACCATCAGTCATCTTTAAAAGTATCTGATTTGCATTTTTCTCCAGTGAAAAATATATGCTTTATAAATTGTATCTAAACTGTTTACTGTGCTTGCAATTAAGATAGCTGTTGTATTGCAGTAATTTAAAAAAACATGCAGGAATGCTTGTGAGTAAACCAAATCCAATAACCTTGACTGACAGGCAAAATGAGTTCCTTCTTTAAACCACAGTAAGCAAAGACAAATCAGCTTTGGTGTACATAGTGTAAAAGAAGCATGTAGAAACCATCAATTTGATTTTTATTTGAAACTCACTGGTGAATGCTTAACAAATACACTGTATATATTGACTTTTATAATGAGCGAAGTAGCTATGAGGTTTAAAATAGCTGTACTTAGTTATAATGAACATACATTTCCTGAAAAAGCAAAACGTAATGGGAGCAAGCAGTACTTTTGTGACCCACGTTGTTAAGATCGGTTTTGCCATGCAGTAGTTTAATCTAATACATTTAGTAGCTCCTTCTTTATTTATGTATTTAGAACGTAAAGCACTATATACATTAAAAAATAGATATATAACTGAATGGTATCAACTCTAGGAAGAATGGTAAGGACAAAGGAAAGTAAGAACCATTTGCCAGAAAAAAAGTGATATTGAATCTACAAAACCAAAAGTGTTTTTAGTAGCGTAACACACTTGAATAAAATCACAACACTTTGATTATATATCATGTTGTAATAAGACCATTTCCTTCAAGTGTCAGAACTTACCCTGGCTATATTACACATTTATTGTAGTTTCAGATGCAGGAGAAATTTAAGCCATACCTTAGTGCTGAAGATCAGCATTCTATTAGAAGGCAACACCTTACTCTGCCTTGCCTGTATTCTTTTCTGAGTAGTGCATCCCAGTCCTTTCCTGCTTATGTCCTGCACTCTCCCTGCACTACCACCAGTTCCCCCTTTAGCTATCATATCAAGCTGCCAATTTCATGTAACTTGAGATTTCCCAACTTAAAGAGGTGTCTGTCCCAACTGTTCCCCTCTCAAATTATTTTTAAAAATTTCCTCTGAAAAAGGACTCAAATATTGATTTCAATGTAGCCTCTCCCATTACTTAGAATACATTATTCTAAAGAGTAATAAAGTAACTTAGTTTTGCTTACTGAACACTACTAGGAAGCAGCTTTAAAAATTGAACAGCTTTTTGCAATTACAATCAAGACCAAAAGACCCTCAGGGAGTCATCTAGCCAGTGCTAACACATCAGGTGAAAGATAACTTTAATCAGGTACAATAATAATCTATTTAATCATTTTTTGCACAGTTAAAAATACGAATTCAATATAAATCCAAAATGAATGGAACACCCCATTTTACTTCATTAAAATGAAAGCAAGGAAAATGTTTAACTTCTGAGAGGAACAGTTCATTAAGTGTTTTAGAAACATCCCTTACCACAGAATGGTTCTTTGTGTAAAGCTCAAAATACTATATAAAATATGAAGAAAGAGCAATTATGCCTAAAACACTTCACTGGAATAAAATCAAATTCTCACAAAAGGAAGACCTCTGATTGCTAACTGAAATACTACTGGTAATTACCAGATCCCCGCCGGCTATCAAGAAACCAGATGTCTGAAGTCTGAATTTTGGCTACTGTTGCCTAAACAAATTCCAACATGTATTTTCTACTTTGATAACAACTCTACATCTGAGGCAAGTGTTAACAAAACTTTCTAGTAGAGTCTTGGAATTCCTAAATGCTCTGAGATTTAATACATTTGTCCCATTTCCTCCGTAAATGAAAGAAGATCAAATACAGAGCATATTAAGAAAGAAGCATGTTAAGATTTTTCCACTCCATCAGCAATTCAACGTAACAATTGTGAGCAGTAATTCTCAATTGTCAGATTATATAACTCCTACATTAATTGTTGTTGTTAAATCATGGAAGAGACAGGAAGAAAAGATATTTCAGAGCAGGATGGCATAAAAGATCACCAATGGTTGTGTAAGGCTATCCTAAAACTATTCTGAAAAGGGAGGGTTTCTGCCATCTCTTCTTCACGTAACTTTTTTTGTAGAATCAAAGACTGCACTGTAATTTCCAGAACTAGCTTATATTATTTTCATTGCAGATTCTCTTAATTTTTGACTTTCACTGAAAACAGACAGTACAGATGCAGAATGAGTTAAAATTCACTTGAGAGCTATGTTACAGTTAGGTTAAACATGTGCTAATTGCAGGAGAATAAGTTTTGAAGACATTGCTGCACTTCTTGAATCCATTTCAACAGCATCTCACTAAAGCAGTAGCTTGTTTGAATTTTAAACAAGGTGATCAGCTTTATGGGAAACTTCAAAAACTTTCAAAATGTAAAATTAAAACAGCAACAGATCCAAATTTAAAATCCTGTGTATATGGAGAGCTAGAAATACTGCAGTGATTTTCCTATTAAATGGAACATCTTTCTTCCATATTCCACGTGAATGACAAAATAAGCAACAGTGAAACAGTGCAGAGGGAGAAATTAAGGCGGTTTCAATCAAAATAACATGAATTTTGTAAGGGAATAAAAAGATAACCTTTCTCTAGTCTTTCCCAGATGAGTAATTTTATTCACAAAGATGTTAGTTAAAAACGTTAACTTATAGAATAGGCTGCTAATGTTCTTCTAAAAATACCTGAAAAAATGAGCTTGCTCAAGCTCAAACACTGCTCTTCTTACAAACACATGCAGCTGCTGAAATAATTCTAGTTATACCGAATTACTGTAATAAAGAATATCACCTCTGGATTAGTAATTGGAAGAGAAATGAAATAATTTGGCTGGTACTGTTTTTTCTTTTTCTTCTTTCTCTCACTGCCTTCTGGAATTTCTTTTCCAGTAGTCCTCTTCCTTTTCTTTTCCCTGTTTATTTCAGAGGTTGTATGCACTGGAAAAAAAAAAAAAAGAAAAAAGAAAATACTTTCAGCATATAGACAAATCAGAACAAAGATATACCTAATATCATATCCAGTAATCCTTAATATCACTTCAGTCAGCTGACTGGACCACATGTTCCCAGGCATCTGATCTGCCCATGCACTGAACTGTCTGACTGGGATCCTACTCCAGCCTCCATTAACACAGCCACACAAGTGGAGTACCATACTTGAACTAACAGTCTGTACATCCAGGCAGGGTTTATAAGCTGTTAACATACATACATGGTTTCCAAACTACAGCTGTGTTTCATTTAGCCAAGCTGCTGCAGTGCACTAGGCCAGCAATTGTCCAGACCTGAACATGGATATGACTTCAGAGCAATTCCCCACATACTGCATTTTACAACATAGAACAAGATATGCAGGATTATTAAAGGAGAAGGTTGTGGTAGACTAGGAGTGGCCAACCCGCAGTTCAAGGACCAAACCCAGAGAGAATAAAATTTAAGTCTAGTCTCTCATCTTCTCCCTTCTCAAAGACCCCTTCCAACATTTAAGGAAAAAAAAAAAAAAAAAGTGCATATCCTCAGTTCCTGTGTGGATCTCCCAGCTTATTTTGTTTGCAGCCCCTGTCCATCATTCAGTAACAAGTGCACTTCTAGCCACACGCTGGGAACACACTTCTGGAAGACAGCTCATAGAAGCCATCACTTCAGCAGCTCGTATACAGTAATGTGAATAGATGTATATGAGACATCATTATGCTGTGGCTCATTGCTTCAATGAATCACAAAACAAATTTTTTAACATCCTCAAATATCTGCAGGACTGAGGACTAATAAACTTCTGGACTTGGTTCTGTTTGCAGGGAGACCGTACTCTACGTGCCCAGCCAACCTGTGCATTCCAACAGACAGGATCAGGAATTGTATGCAGAATATGTCTATCCTTTTACACTATTTCCATTTAAATACACTTACTAGCGAATTCATCTTCAATATCTGTCTCAGCAAATGGCATTTCTGCCATCAGAGAATCTACTGAATCAGCGGGAAGACATGGCTTTTTTTCCTCTTGTGTCCTTTTTTTATTTCCTTTAACAACTTTCTTCTTTTGCTGCATATTTTCCAGCCCATCTGTAATACATTTAAAAAACACACTGGGTATGAGTTTTCAGTATAAATACCTATGTAACATTATATATAAGCAATATACAAAGCATAAATTTATCTACTTCTCAGCAAACAAATAATGACATAAATCTCTTTTAAGAATGCTACTCTTCTTCCTTGACAACAGATCAGTAAAAATACTTCAACGCTATATGTGAAATAGCATAAAAAGAGAGTACAGCCTTCTACATTTAATAACTTATTGTTTCGATCCATTCTAAGTAAATGCAGTTAGAAGCAAAAAGGACAGTTATGACCAAGTATAAAACAATACAAGTCTTCATATATCATGTACAGCTCACTCTGGATAACAGTAATAGCATATGAAATTCAGTGCAGATAAACAGTAGGAAATTATTTCCAATGTAAACATGCTGAAAATGAGGCATGAAGGAGCAGAAAGGGAATCCTACGAATTCACATAAAACAAAGAGATCTCAGCTGACTACATCACACAGGAACAAGATGATTATTCTAGTCCTGCATCTCCCACACAGTGTAATATGCGTATTAAACTACACCTTAAGAAATGAAAAATCAGTACCTCCTCTAGCTACAGAGAATGTACACACAACTAGACATCCAGTAACATTCTCTTGGGACAGCTCCACAATGGGATTACTGCAGTGGAAGAAGCCTTGTGTCAGAATTGCAGTTTATCCCAGGACAGCTCATTATGACAGACAACACACTTTGAAAGCTTTTCTTGTGACCAGTGCAGATAGTCCAAATCTGGCCCAAGGGGAAAAATTGGCAGTAAAAGTGCACATTATGCTATTGTGGCATGCAACGCTATGCCACATGTGTAAAATCAACAGTATAGAGCCAGTCTGGGCTATTGGGATGATAAGCAGAAGAAGAATCTGGTTACATGCTAACTCCAGCCTAAGGTAGGGAGGTGTAAATCACTATGTGGTTGTGGTCTGAAACCTATGTTTATGCCAAAGGCTAATAAAAAGAAAAACTGTTTAGAGTGGCTGCTTGTTCCCTCTGTAGACAATAAAGAACTATGTATGACAAAGAGATGTTAAAGCAACAATAGATTTATTACCTAACGTTTAGAGTTAAGCTTACTTGCTGGTGATCCACCAGCATACAGAACATAACATTTTCTCCTTTTAAAGAGGTCACAAACTGAAGGACGAAACAAAAAACCCATGAAACTGACAAACAAGGACAGCTGGGGCAGAAAAGTTGTCAACAAGATTCAGAAATGCAAAACCATTAAGAGCAAAAGGAATTTGGTACGGTAGCATCAGCTGCGGAACAAGGATTCACCTAAATCTGAGGGGTGTATATTGCAGATTATGCCCTCCTTCTCCCTTGTAGACACAAAGCGCAGTATGTGCTGAATAGCAGCAGGTGAGCAGAGCAGGGGCACAGCCCATTAGCAACATCTCTTCCCAAACAACACGGGCACTGCTTCTCAACTATACATATCAAGATTCCACCTTTTCCTGAATTAAATATTAAGGAAATCACCAACAAAATCCACAAGTTGTATCCTCGTCACTAAAGCAACCTGAAAACAGGACTTTCCAAATTCCTGGCAAAATGTTCATAATCTCAGACCTATCTAACTAGAAGAGCTTCCACAGCAACTCCTTGACTACCAAACTACTGAAGGATAAACTTTATTCTTAACTGCATGAATTTCATATATGAAGAGGGATCTATGCTATTCCTGTATTTGTCTTAGAGCGGTTACTGAGCTATCCGTCATTAAGCAGTAACTGCTGTTCATGAAGATGAGCCACCTGTTCTAGCAGAAAAAAGAAGAAAACAAAACAAAACAAGCTACATGTCATAGAAAACACAAAAGTAAAGAAAAACACTCTCATTGTACTTCTTTCTCAGGCCTCCTCTCTCTACACTTAGTAGCAGGAAAAACAGTTTTCGATTATTTTACACCTGCACATAAAAAACCACTCAAGATCAGGTCTGTGGCCGCTGTTCCCCATAAACAGTAACAAATAATGATTGGGGTTGGAACTGGATAGGCTTTAAAACCTCATCCAAACTCAGCTGAATCTATTGTTGCTGTGGAAATGGCTCTCTTGGCTTTCTGAGTTCCTACTACTGGCACAAGCTTCACATGCCCAGAGAATTGTAGAGTCAGAAAGGTTGGAAATGACTACTAAGATCATCTAGTCTAACCATCAACCCATAACCACCATGCCCACTAAGGGTCTAAAAGTCCTGTTTTTACACATTTCTTGAACACCTCCAGGAACAGTAACTGCACCACCTAGCTGGGCAGCCTGTTCAAGCACCTGACCACTCTTAAGAAATATTTCCTTTGGCAACTTGATCTAGTACTTCATCTAGAGGTTGGCAATTCTGCATGTAACAGGAAGGTTGGAACTTGATGCTTGAGGTCCCTTCCAATCCAAGCTATTATATGACTCTATGATTCTTAGGTCTCCCCTGAGCCTCCTCTTCTCCAGACTAAACAATTTCAGTTCTCTCAGCCACTCCCTGTAACACTTGTGCTCCAGACCCCTCAACCAGCTTTGTTGACCCACTGTGGACACGCTCCAGGACCTTGATGACTTTTTTATACTGAGGGGCCCAAAACTGAGCACTACTTGAGAGGCGGCCTCACAAGTGCTGAGTACAGGGGACAATCACCTCCCTGCTTCTGCTGGCTGAGCTATTTCTGGTACAAGCCAGGATGCCATAGGCCTTCTTGGCCACCTGGTCACACCGCTGGCCCATTTTCAGCATTGGCCAACACCCCCAGGTCCATTTCTTCCACACAGTCTTTCAGCCACTGCCCCAAGACTGCAGTGTTGTCGGGGATGCTCCACCCAAAATGTGGGACGCAGCACTTGGTCTTCGTGAACTTCATCCCAGTGCCCTCAGCCCAGTGATCCAGCCTGTCCGCACCCCTCTGTAGGGCCTTCCTACCCCCAGGCAGACCGACACTTCCTTCCAGCTTGGTGACACCTGCAAACTTACTCAGGGTGCATTCAATTCCCTCGTTCACATCGTCAAGAAATATATTATTAAACAGGGTCAGCCCCGAACTGACCCAGCTAAAGAAATCTCCTTTAATTAACAAGCCAGAAAGGGATAGGCGTAGCACTCCGCACAGCCACACAGCGCAAGCCCGATTAGAGGTTTACACGGAGCGCTCACGGAACCGCTCACCACGGCCCCCTGACCGCAGCTGCCACGCGCCCGCTCCCGGCGCCCGCCCGCCCCCGCGGCGCGCTTGCTCGGCCCCGCCCGCAGCCCGGCCCCCCCTAGGCCCCGTTCCCCTCACCGTGCTTTGGGGTCAAGCCGGCTACGATGGCGGGCTCCTCGCCGACCCCCGCTTCTGCTGCCGCCGCCGGCCGCAGCGCCATGGGACCCGCGTGCGGGGCGAGGAGGGGGCGCGGGGCGAGGAGAGCCGCAGGCCACGCCGAGCAGAGCGAGGGGAGCAGCCGGCGCAGCGCACGCTGCATCTCCGGGTGGGACGAGCGAGGCTGCCCGCCGGGACAACGCGGCCCGGACGCAGGCGCCGCGCCCTTCGGCCCGACGAGAGAGGGGGCACGGGGCCGCAGGCGCGGGACTACAGCTCCCAGTGCGCACCGCGCGGCCGGCCCGGGGCATGGCGGGAGGCGGGCGGGGCTGGTGCTGCTCCGAACAGTCGTCCGTGTCTAGGGCCTGCGCAGTGCGGAGCGATGATTTTCTGTATTTTAGCTGTAGTCTTGCTGTGAGCAGCTGTTCGTTTTTTATGAGACAGCAGAGCGCTCTTACTGGGGTAGTAATACCCCAGCTGCGACTGCACAGCCTGCTGTTGGGAATCTGCCTCTGGGGCATAGGTGGGAGGCTGCTCCTCTGAGGCGAGGAGTGGAAGGCTCTGTTTTCCTGCTTGAATAAAGACTTTGTGCTCCTTGGAAACAAAACTCTGGTGCTGTATTCTGTGGATGATGCCAAACCAAATCCTGCCTTGTGTTTTTGCAGATATGTCTGTGCATGCGGACAGGATCTGGAGGGAGCGACTGTGTATATGTAAATGCAGGTTCTTACTTTCACTTTTGAAGGGAGTGTGGATGGAGGAGAGGGAGAACAAAAAGATGGCCAAAGCAGGAAGGAAGTAGCACGGAGAGATGTGGGTGGGAGATTGGAAGCTGAGAGAAAGTTGCATGGATTTCTGTACTTGACCTGTCTGTACCTTTTCTTCATGGCAGATAAAATTTGCTTGAAAATGCTTCAGAACTATTTTGACCCATTTCACGCTGTGTTTGCCGTTAATGTCTTTCACGCGGTATTTTCATTAGGTCTGCATAGTCTTATGGAAACCACAGACTGGATGTCATAGAATCATAGGATCACGAGGTTGGAAAGGACATGCAAGATCATCTAGTCCAACTGTCTTCACACTACCACTGCTACCACAAGCTACTAAACCATATCTCACAGCTC